TGATTGTCGGCGAATTTCTGTAAATGTCCATCAATCTGCTAGTGATAAGCTAGCCGTTGTTCACTCGTCTTGCTTGTTTAGGGCTGAGTCTTATTCCGGTCAAAGAGAGAGAAGGAGTGTCTGGCAAGGTTTCCAATATACAGCTGAATATAAATCAAAGATTTGTGAACTCGTGTCTGGCAAACTCTCCAAGTGTTTATATATCTACACAGTTAAACGCACCTTATAACCTCCCCTGCGCTTAACGAGTGTCTTTTGGTCCATAACTTTCAAAACAACTGCTCCACAGAATGTCAGAATGACAGAATGTCACTGCGTAACGCAAAAGAGTATCGAAGTATGACCGCACAATAAATGTCACAAAATCTACCTGAGCGGTCCCTTCGGGATTTTCTATCGTTACGTCATCCTAACCATTCCGTACTTGCGGGCGCAAACAATACAAACGTCAAAGACAGATAAGAGACTGTTCACCCTGGTTCCACCCCGATAGAGTTGAAGTACCGGAAGAGGAAATAACTTTAACGAAAGATCCAGGCGCGGATCCACACCGGTTTCCACCGTTTTATATTTCTAATATAAAAACTTAACAAGTTGAAATCTGGCCAATATCCTGTCTGGATGACCCAGAAAAGGCACACTAGGGAACTCGATTGTCGTATCGTAGAGGAGTCAGTCAGACATTCATTTTTAACCAATCACTAGGCAAGAGTAAATTACTGTAGCTGGTCCTAAAAAGCGCGGGAAACCGCCTGCAACGAGGTCACGATTGCTTTCGGGTGTTTCATTTTGATTGCCTGGTTAAAGGCTGTATTTTCTTTGCGAGGATCGGACCAATACTAGAGAAGTAGCTACAACACCTATTTGCTACTTCCACTGGATCAGAAATCTCCTGACCGTCTGACTTACTGTACCAGGTCCGTTCGTCGCGAACCATCATTATCGATAGGAAAAAAATATCCTCTGGAACCCAGGCTAGACTTACCGTTGACCGTCTGACTGACTGTTAACCCCATTGTGACCGTCCTAATTGCAGCCGGACATACTGCATTAAATTAGCCTTAAATTGTGCGCCCATGCTTGCCTATATGCTCCAATAGGCAGCACGGGACGAAGGCAGCGCGCTTTATATGGAGATAGTAAACCATTTTCACTGTCAGAACAACCACTTACTGCCTTCGCGAAACTTAGTTATGGGAAGCGAGATTTTGCAAAGGAAGAGGGTCGTAAGACAGAACGGAGAGGGGGATACTCGTCGCCGAAGGGGAGGTGGATGGGTAAAAAATTATAACCCCGGCTAAGAACAGGGTTACTTGGCAAAAGAGACTGAAATCATGGCTTCAATAGGCACAAGGACTCCAGCTCCCTAGACTTCCACAGGATTGTCTGTAATGCCCTGGGGTGGTACGAGAATACAAGCATTGCGCGCAGGCAGAATCCGTAGTTACTCTAACAGTGAAAATATAAAAGACTTGTTCTGACCATTCATAGCGTGCGCATTTCACTGAATACTTGAACCTAAACGGGTCTATTCTCGTTTATGTAACGTTTCAAGTAATGTGGGAGATGTCCTAGTCTCTCAACCAAACATGACACTTCAAGCACATTTCAAATCATCGCGCTCGTGACGAAACTGTGATTTTTCAACCTTTTTGAAAGCAACAACCTACTTAGTGTGAGACAACGGCTTGAGATAACGTCATTCAGAGTTTACCGCTCCGAAGATGAACTTATATTTCTTTTTTTTTTCGAATGTTTTAAATTCCAAAAACAACTGAAATTATCAGCTCTATCAAACATAAACTAACATTTACTACAGGCAGGTGTGATTGCGGCGAGTTTCTTGGTCAGCTTCTCTACAAGTAAAAATTTAAGCAATTCTGTATCCTGATATATCTCAATATGCTGTTGGAACAGGCAGGTTTATTTGTGCAAGTGCAGATCTCTTGTTCCCAAACCCGTATGATCAAGATACGACTTAGCAATTAATTACCGCATTTGCTGATAGAATGCAAAGCATGAAACTAGTTCTGTGAAAATCCGGCACAACGCTACTCTTTTTGCATATCCGTGCTTGTTTAAAGACAAGACACGCAAGCAGAAAACTGCAGCTTTTGAAACGCGCCGAAGAACTTTATATTTGATGCGTTTTTCATCTTCATCTGGACGTAGATCTCTGAACAACTTATCAGCGGTGTAAAGAATCTTTGTTTTCTCTCCTTTCCATTTGTGTTTGCTTTTTATTTGTGCTCATGATAAACGTACAGATCACTAATTAAAAAGCCACCATTTTCCGCGTCACGAAAAGGCTCGAAACTCCCTTCATGGCGCGCAAAATGGCGGACAAGATCTGACGAGATCAGTGAATTTTTCCAGCCCATTCAGACATAACTGCCCACCACAAGTTTAAGATATCAGTCCTTAATTAAATAGCCTCTCGAATTAACTTCACTTTCGGAGACAGGTTGTCTGTGATTAGATTCATCAGTGTAATCATTTGGGAGGAGGAAGGATAATCTATGATGAAAAGGCGTCTAAACAAAGCGCGAGTGACCCGAAAGATATGGCACTTTTAAGGATAACCCTCTTTTGAAGCACGAACAGAGTAAAAGGTGTAGGAACTTACAGCGTGTTCGAGTTCACTTTGAAAAAAACGCAATAAAATACCTCCGATCAACCTCTCGCGGCTTTTTTCAATCCTTTCTGCAAACAGCATTTCGTCTTGCCTAGAGATAATAGTTTTTCTTTAGGTCTCATAAATGCATAGGGTATGATTGATAATTCTTGGCGCGTATAGTTTTCTTTTGTACTTCGACACTGTCCTTTAGTTTCCGCGTTTAACTGAATCTGCCCTTAGGTGTTCTGTGCACTGTATATATTATTAGTTGTGAAAATGAACTTATTTTTGATCAATTATAATTAAAAAGTAATCCAGGTCCCATGAAAATCTGGAAATCTCGGCTGAGAAAAACGTTGGAGCTGTGAAATTTTCATTGGTGAAAAGCTACACCCCGTAAAGCACCAAATTTGTTCAGGTTGTAAAAAGCTAAACAAAAATTCTTCAAAAGATCATTCGTGGATAATGAATTCTAAACTAACAGAACGGAGGAAAGCGGAGAAACACAAAGGAAAACTTCCAGCTGAGAGCAATTTTCGGGATGACATTGATAGATCGTTTTGCTTATAGCGATAATTTCTACCCCACATCTCGAGTTTCTTGACTTTATCTTGTGCACATCTCGAAAAGATAGCGTTCAAACAAAGAATATCTGGAGGTATTTCATCTTGTCAAATCTAGGCATGCGAGATTTATGACCAGTTGTTTTGTGCTACTTGAACAATTCTTGAAAGCAGCCACATTGCACAGGGGATGATTTTCAATGATTGTGTACGTTCAAATGGTCGTTTAAACAAGCTCTTAATTACATGATTCTTGCTCTTCAAGTAAACAGACTTGCAAGTATGGCCAAACGATTTTCCCCGAGGCATCTGGCCTAGTTGACTGTAATTGGTTGATAAGGCCTGATTGAGGCTATTAATACCGCAAAGTATGAAAAACTAGCAACAAAAACAAAAAGAAACTTTTTANTGGAGGTATTTCATCTTGTCAAATCTAGGCATGCGAGATTTATGACCAGTTGTTTTGTGCTACTTGAACAATTCTTGAAAGCAGCCACATTGCACAGGGGATGATTTTCAATGATTGTGTACGTTCAAATGGTCGTTTAAACAAGCTCTTAATTACATGATTCTTGCTCTTCAAGTAAACAGACTTGCAAGTATGGCCAAACGATTTTCCCCGAGGCATCTGGCCTAGTTGACTGTAATTGGTTGATAAGGCCTGATTGAGGCTATTAATACCGCAAAGTATGAAAAACTAGCAACAAAAACAAAAAGAAACTTTTTACTTATTCCAAATCCTGTTGAAAGTTTACCCTGCATTCACTGAGCTTCGCGCTAGTCCTGCGAGTCACGCGTGTAGAATCGCCGTAGCGTGCACTCCGACCTTAAGTTAATAAAACTGTGCAAGAGAGTGGAAAAAGCAAACAGAACTCCCCTTTTCTATAACAAAAGTTGTAGTTTATGATATTTTTTAATGGCGCGTCACGTTTGTTTAAACTCATTTGCAGACGGAAAGCGGAAAGGTTTTATTCGTCATAATCATGATCCAACCAGTCGGCTCTTCAAGAATGTAAACTTGCGTGAACATCTTTCAACCTCGCTCACTTGACATTAACATACTGCTTATACTAAGTTACGTAATTAGCGTTCTGCAGGCGTTTGTTCTTGAGGGACATGTTTGTTTAAAGATTTTAAACGGGTTAGCACCTCTTTGCTGGATTTGCTAAAGTGCGAGGCTGACGGAGCCCAAGGTGTAGGTCTAAAACTGACGCCGAGTCTTTTAAGCGCAAAATAAGCACACTTGCATTTGTCAGTATTGTCTCGGTTTGGGAGTGTAATATATTTTACCTGAATCAATAAAGAAGCTTAAACAAGCATTTGAGCGCCAATAGTCAAGAGAAATGCTGAAATATCGCTCTTTTCAAGAAAGTCGTTGTCGCCTACAATCTTTTTACTGACACTAATTAAGATGAATTGCCACCGGGATCAGTTTAGCACTAAAAACAAAAAAAACCAGTTTCGCACCATGGCGCCGATCGAATTATCTCGAAATCAGAGCATACAGCAATTGATCTACCTGAGATAACCAAAGTTGGAACGGCTTATCCACGTAAAAAGATTGGCTTACGCAGAACAGACACAAACGTCACTGCGCGAGGAGCACGCAGGACACGAGTAAAACGTCTGTCGAGAGGGATTTTAACGTCCACTTGAAACTCGTTCGCAGAGTGCCAAGAGACGTCTTATATACACCTGAGAGGCTGTATCGGCTTCGTTAAAGTGTTGCGTTTAAATCCGCTTTACTCTGTACATTGTTTAATAGTTTGCCTAATTGATCAGGGTTGAACGTTTGTAAACATTAATTGATTCTTTGTGGGTGGTGTCGTAGAGGTAACTTTGGAGCCCGCTGATCATTTTGTTGCAGCAAGATTTTCCATAACTAGAAAGGAGAAAAGTAGATTCTGAGACTGACCGAAAGTCGAGTGTTTAAGAGGTGCTAATCGTTAGTGCGCGATGGAGGAACTCAACAGCGATGGCTTAGAAACGTCCTCAACAAGACAAAGAAAGGATCCGTCTCTTGAATCCAAAACTGAACGTTTAAAGCCTCCTCACTCATATATAGCGCTCATCGCAACCGCGATTTTAAACTCGCCAGGAAAGAGACTGACACTTACGGAGATCAACGAGTATTTGGTTCAGCACTATGCCTTTTTTCGAGGCCCGTACCAGGGATGGAAAAATTCCGTGCGGCATAACTTGTCGTTCAACAAGTGTTTTGTTAAGATTCTGCGCGACCCCGCGCGTCCTTGGGGCAAGGATAATTACTGGACAGTTAGTTCTCTGCACGATTATCTCTTAGCTGATGGGACTTTCAGGAGAAGAAGAAGAAGAAAACCCAAAAGAAGAGATGAAAGAAATGAGTTAGGCCACAACATTCTAGCAGGGCAGATTTCCCCGCGAAACGATGTGAGAGAGTTTGGGATGCACGATATGCAAGGAAACATTCTAATGATGCCCACTCCTTTTGAAGCCGTGAGAGCGCACTCTGGCGTCGTACATGGTTTGCACAGTCCTGCTGCTCCCAAACAGTTCCAAGGATCGTTCTCTATTGACAGCATTTTAGCAGATGAAAAGACGAGGGCAAAGGACAGAGCGCGCGCGAGAAGAACGAGTGAAACATTTCCTGTTACAAGTGTGCTTAATCCAAACATTGGTAAGTTGAATAGTGAATTGAAATTTCCGGTGTTTCGTTTTGAGTTTACTTTTTCCGGGAGTGGGCTCAGTCATTTGTGCGAGCATAAGTGTTATGTTGATTGTGAAATTGTTTCCAAACCCGTCTAAACCAAATGCGCGTTTCATCATTCGGTCATAAGGGGAACATCACAAAGAATCTCACTAGGTAAACAGTCTTCATTTATCGTAAACTTGTTCAAATCACAAGGCAGTTTAATTCATTAACAAGGCAATATTTCTGCAATTATTACATATTTCAAATCAGAGCACACTTTTTTTAGTGGCCAAGTTCAGTGAAGATAAGATACCCGGCGAAGTGGTAAAGTGTAGGTGGAGGATTTGCGCTCTCGGCTGTTCGTATAGTGAACATACAATTTTTAGCGACGTGTAAAAAAAATAATTCGAATAAAATTCAAACACACTTGACCCTATTTAATAGTCTTTTTCCGTATGTAAACTCGAGTGAAGATTTACATGTTGTTGGTAATTCATAGAAAGTCCAACAGTTTACATCTCAAGAAAAATTATTTTGCGCGCACTTCTAGCACAAAGTGGCATCGCTTGCCGAAAAGCTCTAATTTCAGACGTAGTTTTGACGTATATTTCCCGTACCGTATTGTATCAATATCCAACGTGTTAAATGCTATTTTGTAAACTGTGGCCTCTTTTCCATTCCTGTGGCACACGCCTTACTGAAAGATGCATACTGAACAGTATTAACCTCTGAATAGAATGGGCGTTCTCGAAACCAAGGACTTAAAGGAAACGGGAGCCAACAATTCTGGAAATTTTATTTACACAATTATATTCATCCAATATGTTTGTAATTTGCGGCCACAGAACAGTTAAATAACCTTTTTTCATGAATAGTGTGATTGCACTAAACTGAGTTTGCTAAAAAGTAGTTGATTAACCACGCTGAACGTGAGTCGTGGCAAGTTCCCAGTGGTAGTTCTCCTAGTACATTCTATCAACTACAATCAAGACCCTCCCGGTCTGTATAAATGTTTTAAAGTAATCTTTTTTTGGCATGGGTTCTGTGTAAGAACAAAAATCATCTTAAGAATAATAGGCGCAAACAGTGGCCAAAATGATACAAAATAAAATAAAATAAGTAGTTGAAGCAAAATAAAACAGGCCAGTTCTATGTTCGGGTATGCCGAGATGGTAAGCTGGACAAAATCAATGTACAAAATTAGACTTTTGTTAGAAAACAAGTCTTGGAGATCAAAAGGAAGAATAACAACCATCTTCAACCATCATCTAATTTTCAGTTTTTTTAAAAAAACAGTTTCCAAGAACAAAGCTAAAACTGATTTGACCTTCGTACAATACTTATTATGTCGTAAGAGGTTTCATATATAGTCAACTCGCAACTGTGCTTTGAAGTAAACCAACTGAAGTCAAACCGCAATAACAAAAACACTAACACAGGGGCACCCAACGACAATTTTCGGAAAAATATCTGTTCGGAAGACGATTTGAGATCTAGAATTTTCGGAACATTTGTTGTAAAATTACTTGCTTGCCTGCCTCTCCTAGGATTTTCGAACATCTAAAAAATGGTAAAATTGCCCATTTTCAACGGATTTTTACCCTAAAAAGGTCACCTAGAATTTTCGGGAGCCTTTTTTTCTGGCTGAAATTTTCGAACAGGTAAGTTTTGATCCCTATAATTTTCGGATCACTAGACTTTCAGCTAGGAAATCCGAACAGATGAAAAATTTATAGGGGATAAAAATATGCCCATATTCACCGTTTAAATACTAAAACACGTTTAACAATGCTATGTTTAAGTGGTTTTAAACTATATTCTCGTTGGGTGCCCCTGACTAACAGATATCTATGAAACTAATTTTGATGAAAAGTTACATGGCTTCCGAACTGTGGTCCTTAAATCGTTTTTCTAGCAAAACACGTAAGTTTAGAGTTTCATAGTGGCGGTATACGTAGGGGAACAAGGGTGAAGTGGAATAGTCAGCCTAGATCGGATGTGAATGAAATGTTTACGCATCGAATCTCAAACTTTAAACCTTAAAATAAACTGAATTCTCTTGATTTGATGACTGAACGCTCACAGCAGGGTCGCCAAGAGAAAAATGTGCGGAAGGGATCATTCATAAATTCCATCTAGGTCAAAAATCGTGATTGCGTCCAGCATGCAAAAAAAGAACCTATTGTGCACCTTTGCAGGATTAACATGTCGGCAGCAAGACCAAGAACAGTTTGTTTTAGAAAGGCCATTAGTTTGCCATAATGTGGGTCTTTTTCTGCATCCTTCAGTTATACTATACTATTATTTCTTACTTGCTACCTAACTTTATTATTGTAATTTGTGGATTGTCCATGCAAATTTTGCGATGATCAGATCAGGAAAAAGGACCCGGCCTGATCGCAGATCGTCGTAGATCTGATCTAAAACCCAGGTTGATGATGAAAAGAAGAATTTAGATAAACGTTGGTTACCATCTTATTATAATTTATCAGGCGTTTTCAGCGAATTCTCGAGTTGTATTTTCCTTAGTTGTTTATTTCCTTAGTTTTGCTAGTTGTCTTTAAATAAATGTTTCGTTATATAGCAAATGATACCGAATAACTGAAGCCTGTCTGTCTAGGTTGTTGAGATGATGAAAGCGGGATCGAAACGCATAAAAAAAAAACAATACTTAAGCATACGCATGAAAGAGTGTGACTTGCAATGAATAGGTGGATCAATCACTCTCACAGAACCGAATAGGATCGTGGCTCAGAGAAACAGTTAAACGTACTTAAATTGGTTCTGGACCATCAGAGTTAAAACGTGCCTAGTACGATCGACCCTCCACCAACAGCCACCTTTCTACAACGACCACTTTTTTTTGTCCTGGTGGACAAAGAACCCATACATTGATTCTTGTTTAAACCTCTCTAAACGTCGGCCACCTATTTACAACGGCCACTTTCCTCTGTCCCCAAGGTAGCCGTTGGAGAGTTCAGCTGTAGTTGAAATTACTATTTCTTTGGCAACTCAAAAGAGAGCTTTTTCAAAGTTATGCCTTTCCGTACTGTTGATCTGTCTTTTCATTGAAATCTGGCAAATTTTGGGTGGTGAATTATTGTTTTAGTAGGGAAATTTGAAGGCTCGACGTACGAACTATGCATCAACACGAAAAAGCGATGACAAGGCTGAGTTGTTCAGTTTAATAAACGCCGGGAAAAAAAATTATTCAAGTTGAAAAAATTAATCATGGCACTGTCACCAACTCGAGGACGACGATTAAAGCAATCAGCGCAATCGTAGCCCTTGTCGACTAAAGACACTAAACGGTCTTGTCCAAGCTTGTTCTTGAGTTCAGGCCAGCTAATAAATCATAGTAGTAAGACCACTTAACACTTCCTTCGTTGGTTTGACACTGAGGCAAATCCGACGTACGCCGTTACGCAGCAGAACTTCTGCCCTCATTTTATTTTTTGCGCTGAGATAAGTGAAGTACAATCTGATGAGATATATCTTTGTTTTTAAAGAGGTTAGAAAATTTTCTTTTAGGAGAAGACTGGGTGTGACTGTTCTTAAGAAAAGCTGGTAACTTAAGCAGGACTGATCATTTTTCTTTCTTTCTCAACAGGATCGTTCTCAGCGTCTAGAAATGTTGTGCACTACTGTCGCGGCCCTACTCATCAAGAACCATCTCTTCACTATCAGAGATCTGAACATTTATGCACGCCGGTGAGTCCCAACGCTTTTACAAGTGGATGCGGTGGTGCCGCAGAGATGTGGACTTCATTTACATGCCAGTGCTATCATTCCTGCGCTGCCTCAACGCATTTTCACGCTTGTTACTGACGACGAGCAAAAGATTTCTAAACAGGATACCTGCCCTTAAGTTATCTGGTAACAACTAATATGAAGTGTTCGTGTCCGCTAGACAAGCAGATCCGAAGGCTCTCGTCTTGGTGAAACTTAGTTGTCGCGAGTAGTATGAGCTGTTAGTCGAACATCCTTATCTTATGCCAAAGACTGAGAATGCTTTCGTGTTCGCCAATCATCAGTACTCGCACCAACAACTAAACCTAGGTCCAAGAGGGCTTTTGGAAGTAAGACTGGGGCAACCTTAAGCAGGATAAAAAAGGTAGTGATTACCAGAAGAAAAATATTAGTAGGTAGTTTTTATTTGTAGTGGAGATACTTGACGAGTCTATCTACAACTCAGAAAAAGAAACAAATGTGTATACGGAAAGAAAAATACTATTAGATGGATATAATTTTTTAGAAAAGATTTAACAGTGCAGACAGACCACAGAAAAGTATATTTCAATAACTAATGTTCATCTCATTCTATGAATTCAACTCTTTGTACTAGTTGTATATATTATTCGCAGCAGCAGACATTTTTTGTTTTCAAGAGATATCTGTCAAAAGAAGGCCGATAAAATGATTTCACAACGCAGTCAGTTCATGAATGTTTATAAGAAAGGCACACTTTTGCTTTGTTTGTATGAAGATCAACACCATTTCCCACACTGGAATTGTGCTTCTGAACTGTTCGATAATTCTACTGAGAAGTTAAATTGAAATCACCTTTATTTCAACTTTATATATTAGCTTTCAAATATAGTTACAAGAATGCTCTCTTCCAAAAATGCAAAAAAGAGTAGCTCAAAGGATTGCCTTACAATTCTTGCACTGGCTTAATTACCTCTATTTCTTGAAAATTCTCTTTTTCAACTCCTTAAAAAAAATTTTGGAAAAGTAGCAAAAATTTCAAATGTAAAACATCCATTGCGTGCCTATGAGTGTATCGCAAGAAAAAACTCTTCCAAGAAAATGCGAGGCATGTCGGTTTGATAAGAACTTTGTCTGCTCTATGGTCCACGTATAGATGCCAAGTTTTGGGGGGAGTTCAGGTTCCTAAAAATTCTTGAAATGGCGTGCTTTAGTTTATTCTACAAGAAAACGTTTACGTAGAAAGTGTTCTTTCTTCTTACGATTATTCGTTTTTGAAGGCTCATAAGCCGCCATGGCCTTGGAAATTCCTTTATTTTAAGGACACACACCTCTTTCCCTAGAAGACATAGTTAGGTTCATTTCTTTCAGATTAACCGCTAACAAATGTGAAGAAGTTATACTATACAATTACTAGTTAAGTTCTGATAAAAGACTTTCTCTAGGTCTATTTGTTATTACCAGTTTCAAAAAGATGAAAGATCAAGGAGTCTTTTCATTGCGTAATCTGTGGAAATACGATTTGTGTCGAGTGCCTTGTTGATTTTATAAACATTAAAAAACAAACAAAATAATACCATGTTTCAAAGTATATTCTTTTGATATCAACTGTCCGTTACTCTATACTGAGTTATCAATATTTTTAGCGTCGATTGAATAAACAAACAGCAGAACACCGGCAAACATCTCCTTTGTTTCTCAGTTATGTAGTACGTAACATTTTATAAGACTTAAACGCACTTGAGTTACAAAAAAACTATTTGTTCGTCCTTTTGTTAAATTGGCTCATTTTTGATAAAATTTTTATTTCAACTTGATTGAAAAATTCTGTGAATCTGATCATTTATTTACAATAGTCGGTTGATTAAGGGTACTCATGCACTTGTGGTGCTAGCGCTGTCGGAAGAATTAAAAACTATTTTAGGGGGAAAAAGCCTATAAGAGTATTATAAACCACTTCCTTTATCTTGACTAAGATTTACTGAAAGAAAAAAAAAATTCTCACAGCAACAAGTTGGGATGTTTTGATGTACACGTTGGCCACCACTAGTAGTAAAAGAAAGATGTTACTTTGATCCAGTCGGCACACTGAACTAAGTCAGCCTATGATAGGCAGATGGGGCTTTCTCTTCGAAAAATACGAAAGAAATGACAGAACGTGGAACGGGGTATACTGAATAAGAAGTCGTGGAAGTGCTTCATCAGAGAATTAAGTTAATACTGAAACATATACAAGGAAGTTCTAACTGATAAGAATCCGATGGTGCGACCATTCAACTAAAGCTTCTTCTGCAGTGCCTTTTCAGATTACTGGATTTGATTTTCAGTAAAAAAAAAAATTATTTTGTCTTGAAGTCATTTTTGCTTTTGGATATACAGCTAATAACAGTAATAAATAAAGACTGGAAGTACACTCAGATTATTTGCAAAGAAAAAGATAACAAAATGCAGTCTCACGAGGATAATTCATGTTCGCTCTCAATTAAAGGCCATTTCTCTTTCAGTTCTTTCACTCAGTACTGTAGCCTGAAATTGTACTGTTTGAAATTAAGGTTTCAAAACACTGTAATGTGATCAAAACTAAGCAAAGTCAGGTTTCAAACAGCGCGCTAGTACGGTGCTATAAAAACTCGTCTACAAGATTGAATAAAGTTTTTTCTTCTACAAACTTCTTTATGCGTCAAGGTGTAAACTGATTAATTTGCTTGTGTAAACATGGAAAATATTCTAACTTAAAGCTGGCCAGTGGACACTATACTCTTGATACAAGTAGATGGTTCACAGATAACTCCAGGCTTTAACAATGCACGTCCCGCCGATAATCGCTTAGAAAGTAGATGGATTACACGTGCCATCTTCCCCTGTCAGCATGGATAATTCCCTGCTTCCCTTTATCTCTTCCACCCATACATCACAGGATAGCTCAACATGCAAAGTGGTGTGTGGTCTTCTAGCCAAACGAAACAAGATTTTCACGCTGATTTTCTGGTTATCATACGTCCTTCCATCTCTCTTTCGATACAGAACGTCATAACCTTCGCATTTGCGAGGAAAGCCTTCTCCTAAACATATGGCATAAAAGATTTACGAAATAGAGATAGTATCTCCTGAAGTGTCTTTATGAAGGCTCCATTAAGTCTCGTTTAGCGAAAATCAATTCATATCAACGTTCTCTCACGCAAATTAATTTTCTGACAACCAAAGGTCAAAAGCTCGGAGCACCGGTGTTTTTGATGCTCTACGAAAGCGATAAGTGGGCTGATAGCACGATAAGTGATGTTTTCAAGGTATTTTTGGAGCACATTGTTCAAACAGCAAGAGATGCTCCTCTCACACTCGCGCGCTCGTCTCTCGTGAAAGACGCGGGTCCGCGTTACACTCGAGAATCCTTTTCCTTAGACTTTCTTACAGAAATCAAAGGATCGATTCCAATCGTGTCCCAAGGCAAGTAGATATCCACTTATAACCTCATCATGGAACGAGGCTAGAACGCTGATCTCTTGAATCCTTTCCTTCAGGGCATTTCAATAATCACTGAGAAGTGAAAACATGAGCGACCGGCCAAGTTGAGTTTTGTTCTATACTGAAGTCAGTTACAGTATTTCACATTCAACTGAGTCTGAGGATGGTGTAGATGATTTCTTGCCTCATTTGAACGATGTCGTAGTAGAAGTTGCTTTGACGAGTGGCGCGACCAAGTTTCCGACCAAATTTTACACTCCACACTTTCTTCTCAGATTTTTTGTCCGAGACAAGAGAGAGTGATCCGAGATCAAAGCTACCTTAATAGTGTCCAGACTCGATAGTCAGCCGAGAAAGCTCAACTGAGTGGTGAGAAACAACAACTAAAAATATGCAAAAGAAACAACGAATAACTGAGCTTCCGTTCAGTGAATTAATACACCACAAAATTTCGTCCATAAATCCATGATCAAAGCCGGTTTTACTTACATTACATGTCTTGCTGATCGATATTCTGAGCATAAAAAAGGCATAATCATATAAAAATCAACCATTAATGGATATTTTCTTCCGTAGTATTATTACAAATGAATTAACCGTAACCAAAAGACGAGTCATCAGATCATTTGCTAGCCATAAGTTTAAAAAAGGTCGGAAATAATGCCAGGATATGACGCTCTTGATATACAGGCATAACACACATAGCAGGTTTCCTCTCTGATATCTGATAACTAACGTAGAATAGATGAAATAAAGATGCCCGCTTTGTGATTATACTCAGTACACTCAGTAGGTCCTGTTGTTATGTTTTCTTTTTGGGGGAATTTTATGCCGAATTTTCTTTATCAAACGCCTGTTGTAAAATAGGAAGTGGAAAATGAGCCTCTCGACCCGGAGGGGGAGGGGGTTGTGGTGGTGGAGTTCTCCCCCTCTATAAGCTATATAAGTAGGTGTGTAATCGCCATGAAGTGTATGGTTGAGTGAGCCGTTTTGGTCCCCATTCATGGCCTAAAATCGGGTGGGGTTCCTGTGTAAACGTAGATTTCTCTTCGGCACCAACTGAATAAGAACATTCAATTCAGCGTCACATAATACCAATTAATAAAAACAATGCCTTAAAAAACACCTGACTTGGACGAGGTACTGTGTTTACCTGAAAACAATTTTTCCAAGCCAGGTCTGAAAAAGGGTGTGGCCGTGTTTCAAATCTCAGGTCTAACCATATGACATATTTTGGCCTGAAATAGCTGGGGGAACAAGATCAGAAAACCTGGTGGCACACACCCTCCAAGAATTCCTAGGGGTATCCTCCCTGCCCCGGTCTCAGTCATTCATTTACGTTATCATAGTCATAAGTACGAGGGCAAGATTCACGCCGGCTAAGAAAAAGGAATCAACCCTTCTTAATAAAAAGCGAGCCCGGGCAGACTGTAGATTCAAACTAACCAGGCAACGTTTGTAATAAATACCAGGCCGAGGGGGGGGGGGGGAGAGGATCAATCGCGTCTCCAGAGCTTTTCCCCTAGAAAATAGGAGAAGCGGGAGAAGGCCTGGGGACGAAATTGGAAGGGGGTGGGAGTAAATTGAGAAAATCCGGTATCTGTTTATTACACCGCCCGATTGATAAAATATGAGAATTACCTCCATTATCTTACCAT